GAGTATCGCTATCATTGTCAGTAACCACTCCCAAACGCCCACGATATAAACGACTGACATTGACGACGTAGGGTGTCAATCGACATCGCTTAGAGTCTAATGCTCGTCTAGCACTGAATACCCGACGTCTGGATCATTACGCAAGGTTCATCAAGCACGTAACCATTCACAACGAGGACGCATACTATGCGACCTTGCATGATCTATCCATCCACAAGGTCTCGGGATACCACCTGCTACCGGAAGTGCGCACTTTAGACCTTCATCTTGACGCTGTGGGTGGACCAGAAGGTATATACATGCTCCTCGGGCCTCGAGTGGATGCCATCTCTGTGCGAGTTGCAAAGGACGACGTCGGGCTCCGGTGGACCATAGTACTATTTACCAAGATGTTCGCGATCTGCCGCAACTTGCAGACCTTACATGTCGACTTCGGCGACTGTCATGAAGACGATATTTGTATGATCCTAGACACGATTCGAGCCGCACGCCCCTCCCTCACGGCTCTCCATCTCGGACGCAAATATTGGGTGTATTCCCGGGCCATGGGCAGCGAGCTGATTGCGAGACTGCTGCGACTCATCAGTGGCACCATTCGTGATTTCTCGTCGACTCTCCTCATTAACTACGTTTCCGTCCAATCGTTCAGTCTCTTCAGGAACCTTCAGAACCTGGTGATCCATTTGGACGAGAATACTACATGGTATCTGACATGCCCACAAGCTTTCTCCTTCCCAACATTGCGGTCTCTTGAGATCATAACAGACTTCATTTCTGAGAAGACGACTCTATTCATCCATCGCATACGGGCGGAGCACCTCCACACGCTAGCTATCTTCCTCATGACTTCGCTAGTAGACGGGTACTGGGGGGCGTGCCCAGCGAGATATCTCAACAAGTCGTTATCGACATGTGCCTTCTCGCAGACACTTTCAGTCGTCGCCATACACCCTCGCCACTTCGCCAATGACGGATGGCGGCCACCTTACAGCATCATGAGTCCGTTGCTGGCGCTACCCAAACTCGCTGCGCTGTATCTTCCGCGGCAGTGGGTGGCAGACGGTGTACTGGAAACCATCACTGAAACAAGGCCGGAGATCCAACTGTTAGAACATTGTCCTCTGCACCCGCGAATCTTCCCTGACATCCCTGACGTACCGGTCTCCCGTTGAGAGCTGCCTTCACCTCATCGACCCTGTCTTTCACTGTTGCCTTACATGTTGTGACGCCTCCACAACATCTGCATTACGCCTAATAGCAACACAGTCCCTTCCAGTGTATTCGAGCACCACATCTAGCTTTAGCTGAGAGAGAAATATACGAGACAGAGACAAAAGAGACAGCTCGGGGTACTAGATCGTCATGCAACATATTTGGTGCTGCAGAGAATAAGGTACATGCAGAAAACCTAAAACGAACACACAGACCATCTCAGTACACATATGGGATCAGCCTGTACGGGACTCTCCGTGCCCACGCATCCCACTCCTCGCAAAACTGCTCTCGTAGCAGCCGATCCTCTGTCGGAGGGCGCACGACGGCCGGCACCAGAGACAGCAGACAGAAGAACACATACAACGCCGCTCCGAACTTTCCCCAAGCCGTCTCATAGATGCGGCATTCCCGGAACCACGATCCCGGACTGGCGCAACAGATCCCTGGGCCGACCATGGCGACCAGCCAGCCTGTGTACGACGGGTGGCGGACATACGCGTACGGGCCGGTCGTAACGAGCCGATGGCCATTCCTCATGGTAATCTCGAAAGTGAAGAAGCGGCCCATCGTGCGGTAACACTGATACCGGACGATTCCGCCTGCGACGGCGAGCGCAGTGCCGATGTAGAATGCAGGCGAGAAGTGGATTTGGGAGGCCAAAGACGTCGGGCCGTTGACTAGCACGGCCAGTACCGATCGCGATGCAGGAGAGGAGGGATATCTGTATGCCAGGATGACGGCAATCTCGAGCAGCCCTCCGGCGCAGGTGACTGCCTGGTCGCACCGGCCATCGTCAGCAATTTGCAGAGGAGAATAGGCGAGAGGCGTGCTTTGAAAGCGTTTGAATACGATCTCGCGACCGACGACCAGAGTTTTTCAAACGCGCTCAGGGACTTCGGGCGCTCGCCTTGTACGGCCCTTCGCTGGGGAGGGGTGAAGGTGGTGTAGACACCCAGTGTGCCTGCAATGAGGAATGGGACTTTGGCGATGAGCATGATGGGTTGCGATTCAGTGGCCTCGTTTGGATAGAGCTCGCTGATCCACTATCTACTATTTCAATGCCATCGACTGGGACCCTTGCAAGGGCTCTATTCTCTATTGCTGCGGCATCAACATGAACCACAGTCGCTGCTATCTGTATTGTGCTTTTCATGAGAAACATCAAAACGACAACCAAAGAGATGTCACTTGGCACAGATCCGAAGACCACAGTATGGATAGCAAGGAACGAGCGCATCACCCACGGTCGTTGCTATCTGCGCTGCGCCCTCCATGATAAACATCGGAAAAACATGCGAGATATCGCCTGGAAAGTTGACAGATCCGACGATCACGGTTCGGAGAGCGGGAACGAACCCATGTATTGACAGCCAAGGCAGAACAACACATGACTCGGAGAACAGAAGCGAAGTCATTGAGTAGACAGGTACACGGCGCCCGGGAAGATTGCGTATGGGCTTGGCCCCCAGATAAGCGATCGTTCTAGGCACAACGAGCCCTCGCGGCAGCCTGGTGAGCTCACGACTGAATCTTTACGATCCGCGAAGCAGGGTACTGGTAATGATGCATATTCGTGTCTGTGCCCTCGTGAACGCAGCTGCCGGGACGCAGGTGGCCTGATCGACGACGAGGTATACATCCAGCCGCCGACGTATCACGAATGGAAGAAGTGTTCGTTGGCGGCCAGCGTCCGTGTGAATAAGAGGACAGAAAAAAAACAACGGAGGAGAGCGCATGTGTCGGTCTTTCCCTATTAGTGTCTGCTTGAAGACAAGCACAAGCCTGCCTACTGCGGAAAAATACGCACTTGTTACGCTTTCTGATCTTTTGCAGTCCGCTTGTGTCAGAGCCCAAAACGACTCGGAGGCGGGAGACCTACGCTCCAAGCTACAGCTCAGGGATCTGGCAGGTAGTGACTTGATTGCCATCGCAAGGCTGCTATGGCCACACACCTCTGAGGCTGGGTGCTGAACACTTATTCAAAGCCCCGAGTCTAGTATCGTCGCAAGTGGTTTTTCACAGCAAGCGATGTTGGTCATGATAGAGTCCGTCGGAGATCCGAAGCCAGAACAAGCAACAATCACGTTTGTCAGAGCTCTATCAAACGCGTGAGGGCGCCAAGCCTGCAAGATACTGCTGCAAGATACTACAAATAGCAGCAAATATGATGGTGGCGTGCGCTCGCCACATTCCCGATTCCGACTTCCACCAGTCTCCTTCCTGATCTCGATCACGTTCCTACGAAGGTAGTCAGCACTCTCAGTTCCGCTAGTGGTCATCAACTAACAGTGCGAAGAATGATACCGTCCGGTGTTGGCGCACGGCAATCCGTGCGTCGTCCGGCTCGTTCCTGCATCCCTGATAGTACCTGTGCCCACGCCATACTGCGTGATGAGCCTCACCTCCCGTTACGATTACCCACCGCCGTTTGTTCCTGTGCGTAATGCTTGTCCCGTTGTAGAACATTCCGCCGTGCCTTTTTGCTTGGCGCATCTCCTTCGTTATAGCCTACACCAGTCGTCTCACACTCTCAGTCTTGCCTGCTATACGAGCGCGCACTGAGGCCTGTTGTTCGTACTTACAGTCCGAACACACAACGCGCTCGCGCCTGTTGTTTCCACATCCGGGTCTTACTATCACTGCTGTCTCTCGTCGCGAAAATATACAGATGCTCGAAGGCGCGACCTGGGATGCCGATTCTCCCGAAGGTCACTTGCATCTCGTTGTCATCAGCATGTGTACAATCTACAATCTGTTGCATTTTACAGGGGCGCCAGCGAATAGCCCATCGACAAATGACCCTCCAGCAGCAAGCCAATGCAGCACAAGCCCGTCTATCGGATATCTTCCTTCACAGGTGCGCATGCTCACCTGGGCCCGGCGGCGTTCCGCTCGGGTTGTACTTCACAGCCTTCTTGTTGCCGATAACGTCTTTCTCGATGCTCGCATACCCCGCAACTGTCATCAGGATGTCCAGGTCCTGCACACCGCAATCACGCCCAGTCAGCCCACGCCCATCACACTCGCAGCCGCCACACTCACCGCAAGAAGGCTCTTCATCACATGCCGGCAGCCAGCCTCGCCCTCGTGTGACATCCCCCACACATACAGCCGCCCGACCGCCACCGCATGCGCACCGAGAGCGAGTGCCTTGAACACGTCCGCGCCCGTCCGCACGCCCGAGTCATAGATGATCGTCAGCTTGTCGCCCACCGCCTCCACGATCTCCGGCAGCGCGTCCAGGCTCGCGATCGCCCCGTCCACCTGCCGCCCCGCGTGGTTCGTCACCACGATGCCCTCGCATCCGTGTTCGTACGCAAGCACCGCATCCTCCGCATTCTGGATGCCCTTGATCACGAATGGCCGCCCACCCGAGATGCGCTTCCACTGTGCACGAGTTAGCGCGGGTCACGGTGACGGTGGCAGGCACACATACCTGCTTGACGAGCCAGTCGATCTTCTCCCACGTGTGCGCCTTGCCGTGCCACACACTGCTGTCGATCCACTTGCCCGAGTCCTTCTTCAGCTCCTCGCCATACTTTTTCATGAACACCGGATCCGATGCCCCGATCTCGTTGCCCACCGCATTCGGATAGTAGAATCTGCGAACTACTCAGCGTGCATAGCGAGAGACAAGGGGTGCTAGTACTCACACATAGTTTGCGATATTGACATCCGTCGGGCGCCACCCGAGCTGCCAGGTGTCCGTCGTGAGCATCATGACGTCGAAGCCGGACTTCCATGCGCGCTCTAGGAGAGAAATAGTCTGGCACGATTGTCAGCATCGATGTGCAAGCTGCAGCTACCATCACGCACGATCTCGTCATCGTGCCCCATATAGAGCTGGTAAAACCGCGGGCCCTGTGCGTTGCCGCCGTTGGGGCCTGCGCAGGGAAACATGACAGTGTTGAGCATACCGTCTTTCGGGCGAGCAGCAGCATCACATACCACTGTACTCGTGCACCGAGTTGCTCTCGTTTTTGATCGCCGCACCCGCGTCGTTTGCACGCGCGACGTCCTCGATGGGCTGTGACCCGGCCGTTGACAGGCAATACTGTGGTGTACAAGTACGTTAGTTCCCGTCGTCACAAGCACACTGACGACGCCAGAGCTTGTCGGGTTTTGAGCCCCATCATATGGATTACAGGGGCCCAGTCAGCACGTGAGTAGTCGAGGTTCAATGCTCTACGAGAGGCAGGGCATGGCAGCATCCACCGGGGAGCACAATGGTGGCCAGCCGACGGTGGCTTCGTAGAACGCCCACGAAGGGAATACAATTGCAGCACGGGAATACTCACAGGGATGCCGAGCTCGCCAGCAATTTTGGCAGGCACGAGCTCACCGAGCGGGTGGTACAGCTTGTTGATGCCGATGGGAGCAAAGAGGATGGGAGCAGGGATCTTGTGGCCGAAGAGAGTCGCTGCGGACGTGTGTTTAGTTAGCGGAACCGTTGAGCTTTCAGCAGAGGGGTAGGATTTGAAGGAGGGTATGGAACCAAAGACCAAATGGGGAGAGCGACTCAGGGAGTGAAGCGCGAGGGGATGATCGCAGAGACGCAGTAGAGCACTCACTGGTCATGTCGCGCACATTGGTGTCGACGAGGGTGCGAGGGATGATGCGCCAGCGATAGAAGGCCTCGCGATTAGCACGGTCTGTCCAGCCGAGGCCAGCATTGGAGTTGGCATAGAAGTAGGACCGGTCATTGAGTTTGGCTTTCGTAGACTCCTGCAGCTCCTCGGGGTGGACGGAGAAGTGCGGGACTGGATACTCGTCAGTCAGAGATGGAGGAGTGGGAAAAGAAAAGGGAAGTGCCCACGCTGTCCTGTCTCGCCACCCCTGCGGAATATCTCGCGCTGATAGAGGGAGTAATGGGGAGAGGGGCCTTTGGGCTTGTTAGTGGGATCCATCGCTTGTGTCTTGTTGGGTAGGGGTGTGGAAGAGGGGGTGTCTGAGGACGAGAGGAAGGAGCAGAGTGTATTTATATGTAGAGGAGAAGGAGTGCGAGTGTGACGTCAGAAGAATCATTGTAGAGAAAGAGAGTTCTGAGCAATGCCCGGAACAGCGACGGAGCGGGCAGACGGTGCTCTGGCTGTATGCGCTCACTGTCGCGACGCCGGCCTCCTGAAGCGACGAGCTAGCCGTGCGGGATGTCTGTGCCCTTGTCTGGCGCTGTGCTGCGACCGCACGGACACCCGCAGCGACTGGTATGTGCGGCGAGACGCGCGGTGGGCGACGGAAGGAACGACGCGTAACGCGTGACGTCATCGACTCACGATCACATGCAGCAGTCGTGTCGCGAGTCGCGTGGACCGTTATACTTACAAAAATATCCAGAGCCTGCGTAGGTTGGAGAAAGTGTGCTACGTTCTGCTCACGCCCCCGTTGGCGCATTGTACGCTGTCGTGTCTGCCTGGTCTACCCGAGGTTGTGCTCACGTCGCCTTCCTCTGCACACGGAACACCGTCGATGCTTCCGCCTACCAACTCGCCCGCATCCCCTTCCCGGGCCCGGGCGCTGGACCTGGGTTTCTCCCGACTCCCGTCTTTTCTGCCGCATCATGCGCATCAGTCGCTCGCGCCCAACGCTTCCCCCATCTCTGCCCACGGGTATCCGTTCGTGCGCATGCATGTGCCTTCTTCTTGCCCAGCGGATGGCCTGTTCCTTCGCTTCCGGTCCCCAGAGCTCGCAATGCATGAACGGCATGACTCTCGGCCTGAGCGCGGCTTACGGTTCTGCGCGCCATAGCAGAATCACAGTCGTGAGCGGCCAATTCCGTGTTTTCCCTCCGCCTTCCTGCTGTACGCATGATCGCTTGCCATCCACCACGTCCGCACAACAGGCAAGCTTCCACCATTCTTGACATCACTCGGCTGATACCCGTGCATCCGACTGACCGCATGCCTCGCCCTATTCTCCGGCCTCCAGAGAATCCCGCGCGGCACGCGGCGTCAGCGCGACGGCATGCACCGCTTGCCCGCCGGGCGTCCTCCCACCCGTACATACATTCCTTTCGAGGGCTGCATGCGCACTGCCGCACACGGCAGTCACGCCGCGCCAGCTCTGAGCGCTGTCGACTGGCGGTGGCGTGGGGCGTTCGTCAATAGCAATCATGACGTTCTGCACGACATGAGACTTATTCAAACCAGCGAACAAGGGCGCATGCGTGCTCTACGCCCATTACTTACGTCTGAACGAAAGAAAATAAAGGGGCACGCGCTATCTCCATTTCACCACAACGCCGCCCATTCCGGTCGCGCGTCACCAACACGCAAGCAAAGCGGGGCTTCCCCTGTTTGTGCTACCGCGGGTTCGCTCGTGGATGCTCGCGACTCATACCACCAATGCCTGAGACTGCAGCGGGCGGTCGTCGGTTGGCCCCACAGAAGCACGCGCGCGGGGGGCTCCGACTGGAGCTGGATATAGACTCCGAACGATGTGTCAAGAAGTTGGACGTCCGCGATGCAGCGCGGGCCTGCCGGCACGCGTCCACCACACGGCGCTGGCAGCGTCTGTCGAGACGCACCGTCGTCCCCTCTCTCCCGCTAGGTTCCCCTGCGCACGTGCGCGCGCGTAACGACGGGTATGGCCATTCGTCACTGCTCCTTCATTGTCGAACAGGGACTTTGCCGGTGCGAGCGACCGCGCCGCAGGCCCTCGAGTTCGAGCGCCTTTCGCATTATGTGCGGCGAATTCGCGTGCATTGCAGTGAAGGATGCATCCGTGGCGACACTGCAGTACTGCAGTGCTCACATCTGTGTCGTGAACGTTTCATTTTGCATCACTACGGAAAACATGACCTGGCTTGCGCGGTCGATGGAGAGTGCAATGCCACTGTGGAGAGCTTTGCTGTGGACATTGCGACACCGTACACATAGATACAGACGCATTGCCTATTTGAATAAGACTACCTCCCGCCGTATTTCCTCTATGGGGTGATGCCGGTCGCAAATGTTCTCCTTCTGTCCGCTTCCGCGAGCACTTGGGGTGCATGCACGACGTTCATGCCTTCTCATTTTAGAGCTGTGGTGGGTATACATTCCAAGAACATCGGTGTGCACGAGTGGCTCTGGTCCTGTCGCGGAAGCATATCTGTCTTTCAGCCAGATCTGATTCCAATATACTATCGCATCATGTGCAGTGCAGATACTGTTATGACAGCCGCATAGCATGGAAGTAAAGTAGTAATAATGGATAACAACTATGGGATTGACCACAGCTCCGAACGAGAGAGCGGCACGTCGGGAATGTCAGGGAACGCCCGTGGGTGGATAGGGCAATGTTCCAGCAACTGGATCCCCGGCCGATCTTCAGCGAGGGTTTCCAGTACACCTTCTGCCACCCACCGCCGTGGAAGATACAGCGCTGACAGTTTGGGCAGCGCCAACAAGGGTCTCATGACGTTGTAGGGCGGCCGCCACCCTTCATAGCTCAACTCACGTGTATGTATGGAGACGACTTGGAGCGTCTTCCGCAATGAACACATCAATAAAGACACGTTGAAGTCTCTCAAGCGCTTCCCACAGGAGTCGTCCAGATGCTCCCTGGAAAAGATAGCCAGCGTGTGGAGGTGCTCCGCCTCCAGCCACCGCAGCCACGGCGGAGTATCCCGGAAGATGTGGTCTGCTATGATCTCAAGGGAGCGCAGAGACGGAAGGGAGAGGCGTGTGCTGCGAGACGACGGCTCCGGCGGGCGCACGTACACCACCAGGTTCTGGAGGTTCCGGAAGAGACTAAACGACGGCAGGATGGAGGGGCTGATCATGATCGTCGTCGAGAAGTCGCGCACGGTGCCGCTGACGGCCCGCAGCAGCCGCTCCATCGACTCGTTGGGCGTGGTCATGCACGAATTACTAAAGCCATAGGCATATATCCGGTTCTGGACTCCGAGATGGAGCGTCGTGAGCGGGGGGCGCGCGGCGCGCAGTGCGTCTAGGACCACGCACATCATCTGTGCGTGGCAGTCGCCGAGGTCGGCCTTGAGCGTCCGTAGGCCGCGGCAGACGGCGAACATCTGGCTGAACAGCACCATGGTCCAGCGCAATCCAGCGTCCATCCCTGTGATCCGCACAGAGATGGCGTCCAGGCGAGGCCCGAAGAGCATGTTCACGCCTTCCGGCCCGTTCACAGCGTCAAGATGGATGTCGAGCGTTCGCACTTCCGGTAGCAGGCGGTAGTCCGAGGGTGTGTGGATGGATAAATCGTGCAAGGTGGCGTAATATGCGTCCTCTTTATGGATAGTGACATGCTTGATGAATCTGGCGTAATGATCCAGGCGTTGGGTATTGAGTGCCAGACGATCGTTAGAATCTAAGGGACTTCGATTGACGCCCTACATCAGCGATGTCAGTCGTTCATGTCTTGAGCCTTGGGGAGAAATCGCTCACAACTACGAAGGTGCGCGTGTGATCTTTAGGCTTGTCATCGACGTTCTCATAATTACAAACATAATTGCGAGGCAATGTGCGGATGAGCGGAGCCAAACCCGACATTGTCTCCCAGAGAACAGACATTGCTGCTACGTGTAGCGAGCGGCATGCTACTCCAAGATTAGCCACGGAGCGTTTGCCGTCCCCATTTGAATAGAGGGCACGCGCTATGAGGATAATAATTTGGCCGGAGAGCAAACAGCGGCTGGCGGCCGTCAGCGGCAGTTCGGGTTGGGATTCTACCATTGACAAACATTAGTCTGGTCATTGAGAGGACATAATACATCTTGAACAGCTTACGGTCAGCCATAAACTGTGCTGAATATGAGTGGCGGCTGAGTCGAAGCTCTACAGCCACGAGAGGCGCTTGTGGTAAAGTTTAACATTGATGGGCGCTCGTGTCCACCGATCGGTTACAACTGAACCACACTGGCCCTGGCATGTGGCGTGTCGTCAATACGGCCCACTTTCGTCTTTCGTCTTTCGTTCCCTGTCAACGTCTGAGACTGATCTGTGTGTCCTTCTTTCCGGCACTCTATTGTTCAGGTTGAAGTCGTCCGCAATGGCTTCATTGACTTCAATTTCACCGCATCACGATATGCATGCCAGTGGCCCGGGGCCGTCCACCTTTACAGGTCACCCTTGCTTGCTCGTCCATGAGATATTCGATCAAATTGTCCGTCACGTATACGCAGCCGGCAGCGGTAAAGGATCGGTCGCGAGTCTCGCAGCCACATGCCAGTCTTTTCATGTCCCCGCCATACGCATTTTATGGGAGAAAATGGACAGTGTTGTTCCACTCATAAAGACGCTGCCGGTGTCAGGTCAGAAAGTGATCTGCCGCGGTTCACCGGATACGTCAACAGTATCAGGCTATCACGGTTGTTCGGTTTGAGGGAAGAAAGTGATTGACTAATGACCACTCAAGGACTGATAACAACCAACAAATAAACCACCAATTTCAACAACTTCAAAGGCTTAATGTTGACTTTTATGAGTGTGGGTGATTTGGATGCTTGACTGGTGTGTGCTTGACGTGACTGGCTTATACGTGGATTGACTGGCTTATACGTGGCTTGGCGTGACTTGACTAGCTTGATTCAACAGACTATAGCTCCGCTTGAGCAACAGACTGCTGATAACTGGGCGATACGTGACGAGCGTGACTTAGACCAGGGTTCTGCTTGAACAAAGGTCGAACTATGACAACAAAAGGCAAGCTTCAGATAAGCAAGCACCTTAGAGTCAATCTACAGTTTGTTTTGGGCAAGCTGTATGCCCTCGACACTGCAGATAAGCACCAAACGACTTGGTGTAACTAGACGAGCAAATACGAGCGATGACGAGCGAGTACGAGCGATGACGAGCGATGATGTTGACGACGTTGCCAACAGCGATGACAGAGCCAAAGACAGTGAAGACAAGCCTTACTTCAAGCAAGCTTACAGTGTCAATAGCAGCTTACACTGGTTTACACACAGTGGACTGACTTTAAAGGAAGAATATGTCTATTCCCTCAAGTGGGTCAATGTCTGTACTGTACAAAATCTGGGTCCTTATATACTACTCTGGAGGCCCGCTGACTAAGCATTTGTGTCACGAGTTGGTACGGCGCCTAGCCGTTTTTTAATTTTTTCCTTTTTGCGGGCTCGAACCTGCAACCTTTGTACTATACACTCGAACGGACAAGTCGTTATCTACTGTACGATCAGATTAGATAGGACAGCAGTGCACGGCACAGCTCGGGCTCCGCTGACACAGCCGCTCTGACTCACCGGCCCCCGTGGCCGTGTCGGTATGCTGCACACGGACCAGCTGTGCACGGACCAGTGTGCACAGCCTGCCCTTATCTACCCCTGTATATAAGCCGGCCTCTGCTGCCCTAGGGACCTCAGTTTCGACCTCTTGTCCCTAGGTTAGTAAGCTCTCCTGTACTTACTTCCTTTACTTACTAACTAATACATTCTTGTCCCTAGCCTTAGGTTTGAGCGCCGCTCACCATCGCTTCGGTAAGAACCAGTCGGACGCCCCCAGCCTTTAGGTATTCCCCAGTCGCTTGACCTCAAGTCGCGACATTAGGTCGAAACTCCCCAAGCTGCCGGTGTCCTCTCGGGACTCCCTACATTCACTTTCCTTTCCCACAGGTCGGGTGGTGCGCACCCTTACTATACCCTACGATACGTAGATAGCCTATGATACATCGCCACCACTTAAGGAACGAACTCTTCGGTATCTGCACTTCAGTGGGCAATACTTGTCCTCACGGACGCGTGGCTTAGGTTCCTGCTGCATACTAGCCAAAAGCAGTACTGGGCCCCACGTGAACTGCGAACTTTAGTGTCATCTCGGGTGCTGTAGGTGTAAGCTAGTATAGCATGGCCTTTCATAGTACACGCACCTCCCCTTCCTCCCCCCATCCAACATGGCTGCCTGCCAAGGCCAAGTCCACGCATTCGACTCTCAGGACCTCATCGACGTCTACATCCCAGACGGCCCTGAGACTATCATCTACCGTTGCGAGCAGCAGCTGTGCCCGAACCGAACACCCCGATCAATCGCAGAGGACTACCCGCGCTACAAAGTGATCCGACGAGCGCAACACCCGCTTGGACCCCGCAGCACCCTCACATCCCGATCCGCCTCGTGGCATTCGTGCCCTGTCTCCCCCAGCTCCCGCCTTCCTCAAACTGTCGTCGCCGGTCCAAGTCAAGCACAAGGAGATCTCCCTCCAGACCCTGTGCCAGAGCCTGAGCCTAAGGAGAGTGCGAGTGAAGAAGGAGTCTCGGAGTCCGAGTCCGCGGATCCTACTCGGCCCGCCTCGCCGGCAGTGCTCGCCCCCACGTCAGCAGTCCCTGACGTACGTAACCCCCCCGCCGAACTTCCTCCGGCGCCTTCACCGCCGACTCCGCCAAGAGGCCGCTTGAGCACTCACTCCTCTCGAAGTTCGACCAGCGGAAGGCCACCACAGCCGCCTCCGCCCCCGCAACGTCCTCCGTCCCCCCCGGCGCTGATAATGTCTTCGCCCACGACCGCCCCCGACAAGGAGACCCTGAGGCTCCTACTTCCCCTCCGATATGACGGCAAAACCGTCACAAAATGCAACCGGTTCCTGTTACAGCTGCGCATCTACTGGATGATCAACACGTCGTTGACCACCATCGAGCTCAAAGTACAGGTTGCACTAAGTCTGCTTGACAGTGATGCCCGCACCTGGGCCACCCCCTACTTTGCCCAGCTCATGTCGGTGCAGATAGGAGTGCAAGGGGCCACGACCCCATTCAGGAATGAAGCGGCCTTTGCTGCTGCCTTCAAGGCCCACTTCGGAAATCTCGACGACGAGGCGGCAGCACAAGTAGAGCTGGCGAAGCTCTGTGCGGACAAGTCGGTCCGCGAAAAACGCACTGCTGCGGAGTTCTCCGTGCTGTTCAAGGGTCCGGCGGATCGCTCTGGGTATGGGGACCTGGAGCTACGCGACAAGTACCTGAGCGGCATCCCCTCCCGCGTGTACCGGAAGATCGAGCTCGAGACCTTCACCACGTGGCAAGCAGCTGAGAAGCGCGCCACCGAGGTTGAGCAGATCCTCGATATCAGCCGGGCCCGTCGGCCCGAGCTAAACAACTTCTTCTCGACCCGGGGTCGAGGACGCGGTGGGGCACGTGGTGGTGCACCCCAGTCACACGCAGCTTCGGCCAGCATCAATGCGGCCGTCAGAAAAGGAAACTTCCCCGGCAGTTGTTTCGGCTGTGGGAAGCAAGGGTACCGACACTTCGAGTGCCCCAATTGTAAGGACAAGCCTTATACAAAACGCGCCGACGCGCGGGCTACGGTTGCCTCGGGCTCTACCCAGGCCGCGACAAGCGCCCCCGTCACGACATCACCCTCGGCAAGTATAAGTGCCGCTTCAGCGAAATCCGAGCAATCGGAGCTGGTGGACTTAATGGCACAGGTGAAGTCAATGCGCGAGGAGCTCGAGCATTATCGGGTGATGAAGGAGGAGGGTTTTTGATCCGGTCCACTGATAGGCGCCAAGCCCCTCTGGGCCCCGATTCACCTCTTTTCGGCACTCGCATCCCGCCCGGCACTTTGACTTAGTCTCCTAACACTTCGATTTCGCCTTCGACGCTCTTCGACACCTTCGACGGTGCGCGACGCTTACTCGAAGCTCGGCACGGTCGTCCCGACACCTCGTGCATAGATCTCGGAACATCTTCCGTATTCGGCGAACAATAGGGCCACTTGACGCCGCTCGGCCAAGCGCGCGCTTCGCTCCAAGCCACACCGAAGTAGCCGGTCTTTCCCGATTAGGTATCGAACCTCGCGACATGCCTTCACGACGGCTACCGGTCCGAAGTGGCCATATGTTGCTCTTCATCTCCGCGTTCGGCATGACGTCATTCTACCGATGGACTTGGTATGTGCCCCTCGGTGAGGCAGCTTCTTGAGGAACAATGCAAAGCCCCTTGTACTCGTATGCCACTCTCGAATAGTCGTAGCGTCCTGTGTAGTATAAAACCTGTCGTACTTCTCTCTAAAAATAAAAGATCCGTTCC